CATCGTACCTGGATAAGCCAGGAAAACAAGAGGAAGAAGCATTTCTGGAGCTGCAGCATTACCTGGGGGACGGGTCTGGAAAGCCCAGGTCACCCCAGTGATGTTTCCCACATCCTTTCTGAACAAGTCTTAGCTTTTGGTTTCACTGCCGTCCCTCAACACGGACAGCTGAGAGTGTGCTCCAAAAATTGGTGGGATTTGTTAATCCCATGAACTTTAGTTAGCAGTGGCATGAACTAGTAGCACTTAACTAATGCTCTGAGAACGGAGGGCTCCATTTAAGCTCTGCCAGATTGTCCCATGGGGTTGAGGAGTCACTGACTCCTGCCACATACCTCATCAGTCACTACTGCCCTGGGAGCAGTGCTGGAAGAAAAGGGCACAGCATCCATTCCTCAGCCTCAGCTGTTCACAGGCTGTTGCAGTAAATGAAATCCCCATCACTAATACACTGAAATGCAGCAGCTGATCCTCACCACTTGTACCCCAGGAGTTTGCTGCCTCCCACAGCTGCCACAGCCAAAAGTGACAGGTATCACAAATCAGAGCTTTAGGGCTGTTGACTATTACAACTTCCAAGGCAAAACTACAATCAAGCCATGGAGAGGCTCAATAAATCAAGTGGCAAACACGGTGCTGTACAACAACATTGGCCATGGCTTTTCAGGTCGTGAGACTAAACACAGTGTTAGGTCACAAGTACCAGTTTTCTCTGACTCAGCCTGAAGAAAAAAGCCACCAGACCCGAGCTGTTTAAGGTAAAGCAGGGCCAGGCCAGTCCAACAGGACTGTATATCCTGGCAGAGCTTCATGGGCAGTGCCAGCATCGAAACTTCATCCTGACAAAGCTGCACAACAACTGCACCTCAGCCAGAGAACAAGGAGAAAGAGAAGTTTGTCACCTCCACACTGCCAAGCATTTTACAGAATTAATCATGTTTTCCGCTGCACATCTTCCTTTTGCTGTCAGCCTGACAGGAAAACACTAAAATTTCACAATCTGCAGAAGAATTTGACACTGGCACTCCATTGCACCCTCACTGGTGACTAAAGTCCTGCCAGTGGCACCCAGCCTGCTGGCCCACGGGCAGCTGTACTGAGTCAGGAATGAACTCTGGACCATGTCATCTTGGTCTCAATTTAAACGTTTTTGATCCTTGTGACTGTGAGCAGCCTGAGCCCACTTGCTGCTTTCAAAAAATTTCAGGCTAGTTTCTTGAGCCAATTACATTCTGCAGGGCAATTCTTAGGTCTGTCAAAACAGCTTTTGGCTCTCTGGGACACGAATGTGAACAAGGCTGCCAAAGTGTGTGGAAAATGGAATTCCAGCTCCCGCTGCCAGGAAGTTACAGGAAAATACCATCCACACAGAAACATGTGCTGAAAATAGGAGTGGTTGGGGCTGCAGCTGGGAGATGCTCTTTTCTCTGATAGTTCCTGTGAGTTGAGTTTTATCTCTCCAGCACAGACCTGCTGAAACCTCTGCAGCCTCTCCTCCCGCCCTCGTACAGCTCTGGGTCGTAGCCATCCAAGGAGGAACTCGCAGGCCCGATGCAGGTTTTGCTCCAGTTGTTGGTGCAGCGTTCCAGGGACTCCAGCTGCCTTTTCACTGCCCCTGGGTTCTTGCAGAAATCACAGCACTTGTTACAAGGTGGGGTGACATCACCAAAGTACTTGGCTATGGCAGCGTGGCGGCATCTAAACACAAGGGAAATGATCTGGTCGTTATTTTTATTCACAAGAACTCCACCCTCCAAATGCAGGGTGTTTTTTGGTACAGATTTGAGTCCTTTTTTTCCCCCCAGAGAAAGCCTATTCCAGCAGGAATCACAGGGATTAAGTGGGGTTCTGTTCCTGGCACATTGCTTAAGGTCTCTCTGCCTCCACTTCCCCACACTGACGTTAATCTCTTCTGCTAAACCCTTTCAGATCTTTGAGATCTGCAAAAGGAAGTTTATGAAATATGCAGTTATTAATTCTGTATCATTGGCCAGATACATTCCATGTCCTATCAGGATGGCTGTAGGATAAATATGTGAAGAGGCCCTGTTGATCCCTACACCTCAGAGCGTATCTGTATCTGTATATTCCACACTGAAGAGCTTCTCATTTTACTGTTTGTGGTTTGAAGGTCTTAGGTCTATATCTGAAGACACAGGAATGTAAATTAAATCCCAGAATTAAGAGTCCAGACTGAGGTCACAAGGGAGCACCATTCAGGTAACACATGCCAGGGTCTTGATCTGCTCCCACATGTTCCGGATCAGCAGTCAAAGCTGGGGTCCCACATCCACGAAAACCAGTCCATTTACTCATCCAGTATTGCACAACCAGTTTACCAGACTTAGCAAACCAGTCATGTGAAAATGATTAGATTCTTCTAGAAATCTTCAAAAGATTTTTGGCATTGGTTTTGGGTATGTAAAAAGGAGTTTGGTGACAGAAATGTGCTCATTAGCAATACAGGCAGGAAGTAATTTCTCTTCTAGAACACTCCCTAATTTAAACCAGTGAATACACTGATTTCACGAAAGAAGAACCAGGGAGTTACTTTTTTTGGTTTTTTAAGAAAGAAGAGTTTAGAGGAGCTTTTTAAAACTCAAGTTGCACAGCAGAGGTAGCCAGTTGTCTCTCAGTCAAAATGCTGATACTAAATACACAGAAACATCTACTTCATCAGGCATTTAGAGATCAAATCCTGCAGCCAAGTGCGAACAAGAGTTATTTTAGAAGGGAATTATTTTACTACAAAGAAGAACAAAGTGGAGATTTTTCTTGTCTGCCAAGGAGTGCCCTAGTTGGCTTACCCAGCTTCATCTGCAAAAAGTGGGTCACAGAGGGGAAAAGTAAGAGAGTGAGCACTTCATTTATTATTATTATAAGCCCTCTAAGGCACGTTTGAACTTGCCAGAGATTTAACAAACGCTGTTTTCTTCTTAACTCATGTGTGTGTTTGGGGGGAGGGGGACACAACTGCACGTCTACCAAAGCACCACAAACAAACCCTGCGAGGGTCTGCAGAGGCTGCTCCTTCCCACAGCCTGGCAGGTTGATGTGCCAAGGGGCACAGGTTGCAGATTCCTGACTCCACAGCCGAGCAGCGCTGAAGCACAAAGGACCTGGCACTGCTCAGGTGAGGAGGCTGCAGCAGGGTCACCTCCCTGTGCACGGTGTAGGGAGCTGAAGGCTGGAGAGGGCTCCGACAAAGCTGGCTTTATATCTCCCTGCAGAGCCACACTGACTCACTCTCCTCTTGCACTCAAAGAGCTCCTTTCACATGGTGGGGAGGGGTGGGGGGACCGGGATGGGGGCAACACATTCGATCCCCTTGTCCTGCCTTCCCAAAAGAGCTACTGGTGCTGCCTGCCCTGCCAGTGCAACGTGACTATAGAAATGTCAGCGAGCTGCAAGTCAGCTTTTTGTTTCCCCAAAAGAAAACAGGCAGGCATTCTCATTAGCCCATGGCTCTTTCTGCACGCACTGATCTGTATTAGAGTTAAGCGAGGCATGCAGGAATGGTCAAGCCCTCTCCTCACTCCTACAGCTCAATCACTGGGCTTATGCTGGGGAGGGACATCCACACACACCTCTGTCCCTTAAAGCCAACAAGTGAGATGCCCCAGGGGAGGGCTTTGGTGGAAGCAGAGATCAGCTCTGACCTCACTGGAACTTAAAGAGTTCTAGTTTCTAACCCATCAGCCCTGCAAAGCCAAGCTCTTTCCACCCAGGTTCCTGCAACTGCCTGTGTTTTCCTGAAGAATTACCCCATTTCACACAGCCACTTCCACAGCCCCACTTTAGCCAACGGTGCTCAGGAGCTGGCTCATAACGGAAATTCATCTGCAGAACTAAGATCGCAATCCTATAATTAAAGTCAAAAGGCAAAACTCAGAGTTACTGACAGGATGCTGGGGGTAATCACCAGATTACATCTTAACCAAACACGAGAGGTCCTGAAACATGGTCACTTGTGCATTATCATGTCACATGGGCACCTGACTAATGCCCACGAGATGGAGATGATTTACATAAACTAATGGTAGTTTGTATACACGTCCTAAAATTATTTCATCTTTTAAATATGGAGCTGTACTATTTATCTCCCCTCACCCTTCAACAGCTGATCATTGGTCTTCAAAATGTCTAAACAAAATTGTTTCATTTGAGGCATCCTGCCCTGATTTGACATTATGGAATAGGATGAAGAGCAAATAACGATCAAGTTTATTAACCCTTTTTTGTCTGTGGCAATACACTTCAGGAAAGTGCTAAACTGACCACATCTGCACCTGTGTGGGTTTGGTAGTCCTTGGTTTTGCACACCAGGTAAAACAGGAGCACCATTCCTGCAATTAGTAGAAGCAGAGGGACAGCCAGAGGAGAAGCAAAGTTACATATCCTGAGAGAAGCTTTGCCTCTCCCAAAATTTACCAGAAAAAAAGCATTCCCTCACATGAACCCATGGGTACATCAGAAATGCTTCCTGAAAAAACACCTCAAGGAGACATCAAATCTTGGAATACAGTCAAGAAGTGAAAGCATTAAAAAAGATAAAAATCATGTGAGGACAAAATAGTTATGCAGATGCCATTCATTTGTTGAGCGACAGCCACTTCATAAGCTTTATCAAATAGAAGAACAAATCATGAGGTTGATGCGAAATTCTAATGTTGCACCTCTCTGAAGGACTGTACCCTTTTCACATCACCTGAACTTCACCCTCTGAGATGTCACAGTGGGTGTCAGCTGTCCCCAGAATACAAAAAGGAAAAACCACGGCATCAAGAGAGTAAATGGCCAAGGGCACGGAGCAAATTCATTGCCCCAGCATCACCCCTGCTCCCCTGTCCCTGGCAGGTCTCTCTTACAGTGCTGCACTGTCCTCACCACTTCTTGCTCTGCCCTTTCAATGAACACACGAGAACAACTCTTTCCCCCCGGGAGTCGGAAGGAAACTGGGCAGCATAAAGAAAAGTGACTTGCTTGAACACACCCTCGAACTATCGCAAGGAAAGAATCAACCCTCACTCCAGAAAAAGCTGAAATTAAAAGGCAAAAAAGGAAAGACCTCTCTGTGGGGAGATGCACAGAGGAAACCAGCAACAAGTGCCGGCCCCTGGGAGCGGAGCTGGCACAGAGCTGGCTCAGCCCCAGCCCGCGGTGGCTCCCCCGCCGCACTCCCTCCCTCCCTCCCTCCCTCCCTCCCTGGCACACATGTAACACGAAACTTCGGATCTCCAGGACAACCAGTAACAAAAAAAAAAAAAAAAAAAAGAAAAGGCAGAGACAACAGCTGGCTGTCAGCGGCGGAGCACAGAGGAGCCGAGCGAGGAGCGAGACACGCCAGGATGAGGGGAGAGATGACGTGAAAGTTTTAAGACGACGGAAAGAAAAACAAGAGGAGAAGAAGAGCTGGCGGCGCGCTGGGGTAAGGGCTGAGCTATCGCTGGTGTTCGGGCACCTTAACCTTGCGCTGGTTAGCGAGGAGCTGGCGGAGCTCTCCCTGCGGAACCGGCCATGGAGCAGAGCTCGCGAGCCTGAATTTGTGTGCGAGGGGCACCGGGGAGCAAAGGTGGCAGGAGAAAAGCTTTTAAGCGGATTGCAGAGAGCCGAGCTGCGGCCGCCCTGTAACAAAAGCAGCTGCCCGCAGCGCTCCGGGTCCGAGCGGGACCGAGCAACTTTTGTCGGGTTAGAAAGCCTTGGCTGCTCATTTTTCCGAGCTGCTACAGAACGTGACCTTGGCTAAGAAGCGGGTCTAGCGCGGGGCATTCTCCACAGCGGTGACCCGATATAGTAATGGTGTGGATAAGAGAGCTGGGCTGCCCGGCGGAGCGAGGGCTCTTCGTGCCTTTAGCGAGGAGCTGCGTGTGTGAAACCAGCCGGGTGCCAGCCACAGCATTTCTCCAGAGCTCCTCCCAGCTGCAGCTAAGTTTTATCCCCCCCCCAAATCCTGGAGCAAACAGAGAGCTTAGAAAACAAGCCCTGGTCGGGGAACTAACACATTGTGCAAGTTAAGCATCTGTGTCCAATAGAAATAAATGGAAAGATTTTACACGACTTCTAACAAGGACATTTTAAAAAAAGAATTCAGGCTGTGGTGTATCAGGCACAGATGCTGGTTTACTATTCAAAGCAGCGTGAGAACCCACTGCTCTGAGAGACACATAGATGCACACACACGGTCTATGGTTTACAGGAACAAGACCGTCAAGTTTGCATGCCGTGAGAAGGGAAGGGAGAGGCGAAGAATCCCCTAAATACATGAAATTATAGAATCATTTAGTTTGGAAAAGTCCAAGCCTTGGTTTCACAGAGGTGTCCCACAGCCTGCTGTCCCATCTCTATTTCGCTGCTGGGTACGGGAAGGGGCTCTGGCAAAGGAGACCAATCATATAAACCCCCTTTTTCTGCCATATGAAGCTGATTTCTCTGTTTGGAAGCTCCTGCAGCTCCTAGCACTGAGCTGGGACCCCTCAGCCTCTTCCAGGAGGTGCATGGGCAGTCAGCTGTTTACAAACAGAGGGGCAGAAAGCCAGTTCTCACAGAAAGATGTCTTCCCGATCCTACACATGCCTGTAGGGAGGAATGTTAAGGATCAGGTATTTCCACTTCTCTCCATTTCCATTAACATGGAAGGGAGGGCAGGTCTTTCTGACCTAAGTGTTGTACAAACACCGAATTGGAACTGCCTGAGTGAGGAGATGTAGTAGTTAAGACCCACGCGCCTCCAGCCTAGCCCTGGGCTCAAGGGGATGGAGGGAAGTTTCCACCCTGCTAATGAAGGGTCTCTGTAGGTTGGTTGCTGCAGTTGAGATGGATTCTCAAATAAAGCATGTGAAAAAACAAAGTTTAGGCAAACAAAAAAAAAAAAGGAAGGAGGGAGGAGTGAGGGGAGAAGGGCAGGGGAGGGAAGGAGGTAGAGAAACATGCCAAGTTTTCCTTGCCAAAAGAAAACGTTAAGGGGTTTGGCTGGGGGGTTGTCCAGCCGCAGCCACGCTGTACAAGTGTGTGGGGGAGAGGAACAGCAATATGAAACACATGTCTGGATAAAAGCAGCAGGACATGGCTTGTGTTACAGCTGTCACAGTGCACAGGCCTCGGCCTGACTGCAATGTAAGGGCCGTTATGGGAGTGGAGGTACAAAATAAACCCAGCTTTGATAGAGCAGATCCTTTCTATGGGACAACCCTCTGATCACACAGCCTGCAGTGGGCCAGAGCAGTCACCCGTGGACAGCAGGGACTGTAAGGCACTGTGAGAGAGCTGGGTGAGGAGAGCAGCAGCCAGCCCTCACCTCCACTGGAGCTCTCACTGCTACCCCACACAGCCACAGCTGATGGGCTTCAGAACAGCTTCCTCTGAGGAAGCGGCTGTTGTAGCCTTCAGTTTTGAGTTCCTACACCCAGGTGTCATCTTTATTAAGATCAGTCCACCTGATTTCAAAAAACTCAAAAATGCACATAACTTGTGAGCCCTGCAGGTCTGAGATCAGTCAAGGACAGGGCACAGAGGGGGCTGCTGAAAGGTGGAGGAGTTTCCAGCACTCTGCGAGCTCCAGCTGCCAGACCTCAACCACCAAACTACAGACAGATCCCACTATGTGTCTCAAACACCAAACTACTGATAGATCCCACTATGGTTGTGAAGTAACTACAAGGCTTTCACAGGCACACAGCTACCTCTCTGTCAGCTTCCTGGGGAATGGTTATTTTGCTAATATTAGAATAGACTTTCAGGCTAGATTCAAGCATCACCAACCCTAAAAAAAGTTCTCTTGTAGAAGAGCTACAGGTTTATTTTTAAAATTGACCTTTTCCTTTCATTGGATGGCTCAGTGCTTTGGTTTCCCCACTTAAAAAATTCCTAGTAGTGAGGAATTATCTCACGGGGTCTTGTGGATGTTTTTGTGGGATGGACTGGAGAAATCCAGGCTGCTCTGTAGAGGTGTAAAGACTCTCATCTCAGTGCCCCAATGGGCACCTCAGCTACCAAAAATGCTATTGCAGGGAATTCAGTGCCTTTTTATATTAATCTAATATTAGGTTGTAGGGGAGAGAAGGGACATTTACAGTGCTGCCTCAAAACCCACCTCCAAATAGTGGGTGGTGGTGATGACAGGGTATTCCAGCCAAAGGGCTGCCCAGTCAGGGCAGCTTTATAATCTGAAGGAATGTGTGGCCTTCTTTTCCAGACCAACTGACAAAGTCAAAGCTTTTCTCCCATGACATTGAGCTGCAATTTGCCAGTTTGGGTGTGTGCTGTTAAAGGGCTGAATTCTCTTGATACTGGAAACTATTTTCATCTGCTTGGGAATGAATTATAGGTCTGTCTGGCACCGTTCACTCCTGTTTTAGGAAAAAAAGGGCTCGTCTGAACTATAGTTAAGATTCACGTGGCCGGTCAACTACAACCATGGCAGCAAACATTGCATTAACAATGATGAGGGAAAACCATGCACTGATAATACAACTACATTTCTATGGCCCTTTTCATCTCAGCAGCACACTGAAAGCTTGGAACAATAAACAATCGTGCAGGAATTATGACACGTTATGCCAAACTGCATCCAGACTGCAGTCACACCTAGCAACCCACATTGTTCTAGAACAGGAAGCACTGCAGACCTTATCCAGATGAAATCAGAAGCACATTTCAAGAACAAAGCTGGTAGGTTTTGAAACTGGTCAAAGCTTCGTGTTCTTTAGAAAGTGGCCAAACACAGTCAGAGTTTAGATTGGAATAAAAAGCATCCTCTCCCCTTTGGCTGCTCAGCACCCTCCTTCCACGAGGCTGGGCTTGCCTTCTTAAGACTTCCTACAAAATAAGCCACCACAATCCATACAGGCTTCCCATCCCTGTACAGATCCAATTTCAACCAATTTGACTTGCCTGAGTAAGGACAACACAAAGTCAGTCTTGGGAAAAAGACAAGGTTGCAGTGGGAACGCTGCCCTGGCATTCTGCTTGATGGGCACATCAGGGAGGTTCTCTTTGTAGGGTCTCTGCAGCTCTGGTGCTGTGGGCAGTGGGCACAGTGGAACAGATCTGACTCCACTGGGACCTGCTGCATTAGGACTAGAGGCACTGACAGCTTCTTGTTCCCAACAAATTCCCCCCTCCGAAGCTTGGTCTCCATTTTTAGACGACTTGAGTAACAAATCCACACAAAGCACAGTAAAAGCAGTGGATCAGGATCACGGCAAGAGCAATAGGCCCCCTGTGGAGCATGGCTGGGTTAGGAACAAACAAGATGCTTTCATCTACTTCCAACCTAAACGGGCTCAGTGACCAAAGTGTAACAGGCAGTGAGCAAGCAAAGGCCAGTTCAGTTTGTAACTGCAACAAAACCAGGGACTTATTGTCTTCCTATCTAAAGATTTCCGAGCATGTTGGAGACTTGGACGCACAACAATTAACAAGCTAACCTCTGATGGTGGTTACATGTTCCAGCTCTTTGCAGAGATGAAGTCACCCAACAGAGGGATGGGATGACTTATCCAAAGTCACGCCACCAGTAAAACATGACTGGCAGGGCAGTAAAACTGCCTCTATTTACTAACTTCCAGTCCTGAGGCTAAACCACAAACTCAAATTCGTGTCCTTTGCACTTAAATAGGCTGCTCAAATACCACCAGGGTTATGAGTAAACAAGTGTCTCATTCCCCAGCAGTAAATTTCAGCTCACCCACTCCCTACAGCCCAACTCTGGATGCACCTGTGTGCACACACAGATCGGATTGGGCTTTCCAGACTGAAGACAGACCAAAAAACCCCTATCAATTTGCATCAGTTCCAAAAGATTTACAGCAGCCCGACTAGCTGTAAGGAGGGGGATGTGGGACCCCATCACACATGGTCATCCCGAAGCTCTTTTTGTTGCTTGAAGCCTCAGAGCCCCCACCCAGCCAGTTCACCAGCACAAAGGAACCCTGACTGAGGCTTTTCTCTCAAATGTCTAGATTGAGGCTTTTTAATGGCTTTATTCTCAAAAGGACTGAGCAGCCAACTTCTTTGAGTGCTTCAGTATGGCATGAGTCCATTAAAACAACTCAGAAAGATAATTTCAGTGCTATTATGGCAATTTTCACAGCTTTATTCAGTGGGCACAGCAAGATGAATCTGCATTAGCACTTCCTGGGAATCTAAATCTATATGAGCCCTGAACACAGGACATGCTGTTTGGTTTTACAGGGTCATGTAATCCCTGCAGCTGAGCAGCACACCTGCAGCTGTTACCCCTTCCCCTGCATCATTACTGGGCTCTCTCTTTTCCACCAAGCCTAACAACTCATGACACATGGCAGATTGGGCCTTCTTTTCCTCAAAAAGAAATAAACCCAAATTAAATGATTTATCATATTCCCTCCTCTGCTGTGCCTTGTAACATAGGGAAGGGCAGAAAGATTTGATGATCTAGTTCAACTGGCAACACTGGATAGATGAATTATTTCTTAGAGAACAGCCAGAACAGGATACAGCTGAATTCATGAATTTCAGGCTGCCACCCCACCCAATAAGGAAATTCTAACCCACCTGTCACAAGACACCAGCATTGAGTTCACTTTCTTTTCCACCTGAGTTTCTCATCTTGCCTCTCTCTTTACCTTATTCTCACTTCATGTGAGCTCTGGCTACAGCTGTGGAGCAGAAGTTCCTGACATCAGCCTAACAATGTGTTATGAAGCCCACACTGCACTCTGGTCATTCACTGTTTCCCTCAGCTTTGCTGCCCTACAGCCAGGTCTCCTCTGCTCTGGGGGGGTCCCATCCTCAGTGGGTGAGGTTTTGAGGAAGGAAAACGATGAGCAAGGAGAAAAACACCGGCAGATAATTATCTTTGCTCCAAGCTCCACAGAATCTGTGAGGTAGTAACCTGAGTGGCTCTGTTCACCTACAACCTACAGACCTGCAGCCTTAAGTTTTAAATCTCCCAAGACTTGCCTGTTTTAGTAATAATCATTACAATTACTGCTTCAGTAATGAATCTGCTGCACCAGCTTTCTGTTACTACTGTTGGTGACTGGGAGCTTCCTTGAACACAGTATAAGAAAAAAAAAAAAAGGAATTAATTCTTACAGCTCCACTCTGTAAGTAATGCCATCACTGTTGTGTTGTACAAGAGGAAGATGGATAAGTGACACAGCACTATTCTTACCCTTATGCCAACCTCAAGGGTGAGCTCTTGGTTCCGCTGAAATCAAGTGGGAAAAGGTGAGAATCAAAACTAGTCCTGAACAAAGACTTTAAATCACAAGTAGAATGGAACATACAGAAGTCCATGACTGTAACTGGCTTTCTCAGGGGAGTTTCATTTTTTTAATCTTTAAGAATGATTTTATTATTCACCCTTTTGCTACACTGCACAAGCAGAAATCCCAAAGCAGTGAGAGCCCCTGGAACCAGAGTGCAAGTCAGAGGTGCAGTCGAGCAGAAAAACATTTGCTGCCTCATGGGTAGATTGGAAACTGCACCACCAACATCAAACTTTGCCCCTGATGTAGTTCAGACCAAGGTAAACAAGCAACATTCCTTGCAAGTTTTAGAATAAAAACTCCTTCACTTAGCTCCAGATCAGGTACCCTGGGCAGAGGAATGGCCATTACTGAGGCAGGCCTTTTCATTTTAGACTAAGCACTTTGCTAATCAAGAGTTCTCCAATCCTAATCAGGTAATTTCACACTGTATACCCAAACTCCACAAGCCTGGCTCTTGTATTTGTTCCTTCTGGTGCAGCCCAAAGCATGGCATGGAAGGTTATAGCACATTCCTTACTAGGAGAGCTTCTGGACAGGCCGAAGCCCCTCCAAAGGGAACAAACATTTTCAGGATGTTAGAGCCAGAATTTTTTATTTATTTAATTTTTTTTTTACATTTTTCTTCTAGAGCCAAGAACAGAAAACACAAATCACTTCACCTCTGCCTCCTCCACCACCTCTTGGAATGGAAACAAAACTGAAAACCTGCTGACGCAGAATCCCACAGCATCGTGCAAAGGATAAGGCAGCCGTTTCTGGAGCAGCTCACTTGGGGTATGCAGTCATCTGGAAAGAACTATTTAACCCCAGTCTCAAAAGTGACCTTTTCAGGTCAAAAGGCCACAGCTCTGCCTCCCTGCTAAGTTGCACAGAGATCTTTCTGTAGATGTAGATTTTCCATCCACCCCCTATCCCAGCTGGTTCCGATTTTTATTCCTTAGCTTGGATTTAAAAGAACAAAGAAAAGCCTTTTTGAATTGCATAAACATACAAGACTTAATTTAACTTGGCACTGTAATACTGAAGCCCAGCATGCAAAGAAACAGCCAAGGTCTCCCTGTCCTCAGTGTGTTTAGAGGAAACTGAACTCCAAGCCTCCATTTGTTTGAGTAACCGATCCAGATGTGCAGTAAGGAATTTGCTGGCTTATTCTGGAAGTGCTGTCTTGGTCACTTGGCTTTGTGTTATCACCAAGACCAGGACATTAAACTGCAATGTTCAAGTCCCATAACCCAGTGGGGACTATTACAAACCACACAAACTAGCACACTCTGATATAATAATGACATAAAAGTTATAGTCCATCCAAGTCTTGACCTGTCCAAACACTTGTTTTAGGTGAAACTGTGGATATTTCTCAACAATATCCACTTCTATTTCCTAACTGAAGAAAAATTGGAACATCCATAGGTCTCATGCCCACTAGTTTGTTGCAGTGCCTTCCAAAATCCTGCTCATGGGGTAAAAGAATAGCAAATATTGGTGTCAAAACTGAGGCACATAACTCTGACTAGACTAATAATATTTTCAGTAACAGTAGCTCCTGATGATCATTCTGAGAATAAAGAAGGTGTAAGGTTACTGAGCAGGACTAACCTCCCTTGTGGAGCACCTCCCCAACAGATCCAGGGGCTTTTATTTGCTCCTCACCAGCAGTGATGGGTGGACATCCACTGTTCAACTCATATATTGCTCAGTTAGACTGTGGTTTAAAAAACCCCTACATTTAGCTCACCTTGCATTCATCTGTAAGAACCTGGGAAAGCATCCATCTGTCCCCAATGAATGCAGACTTTAAATCTTAATGTCACCATACAGTAAAACTGGTCGATAAAACATTACTAATGGTATTATACTGAGGTGTTGAAATAAGTGCCTTAGTTTTTGAAGGGGCTTTCTTCAGCTCAAAGTGCAAGAAGCCTTCAAGGGAGTCTACTTTGTGTTACTCAGTAAAAACCAGCTGAAAACTATGCACCACTGGAGTTCAGCACTTGGAATTCAAGTTGAGTTAGAACTGCATTTTTTTCTGGAAGGACAAGTTAGCACAACTAGGAAAAAAAAAATATTTTCCTTGGGTTAAAGCCAAGGGCAGGCACTGTCCAGTTCTAACTCTGTGCTGCTGAAATGAGTGTCCTTGTAGAAGAAACACCGTTTTGCCTTTGCTTAACAGTGCAGTTGACAAAACACCCTTGAAGCTGGATTTTGAAATTAAAACAGTGCTAGAACACGTAGACAGTTAATAGCCCTCCACCTTAGCTACTGGGAGCAAGGACTGAGACCAGATAAACTTGTTTTCCTTGTGATCACCAGCTCTATAAGAAGGCTGGCAGCTCCCTAGCATTAGTCAGTGAAAAGGTTTATTCTCTGTTTGGTTCTTGTACAGCATAAAGCCTGGAGAGCTTGTGACAGAATGTCTACTGAAACCTTTCTGAAGGAAATTCAAGCCATTGGTGAGAAGTTTCTCCTTAAGCTCCAGAAACTGCCCAAGGCTGAGCCAGTGGAGATTGTCTGCTTTTGTGTGGTTCTTCTGTTCATCGGTGAGTTTATTGGTGGAAGCCAAGGGGTGTCAGAATTTCTCTTCTAAAGGGGGGCAGCTTGTGCCACAGTCTTGGCTGGTGGGTTGGTGGTGTTGGCAGTTGTTTTCCAGGCTGTGCTCTGAGGCCCAGGGTAATTTCTAGGTAATTTCTTTAATACTCAGCACATATCTCTACATGGATGCAGAGCATGACAGGCCAACAGGACAGCTTTACCCAAAGCTCTCATATTTAAACATCAGTTTAAACAGCAGTGTTTTAACCAAACCAGAGCTGCTGTACTGTTTTGATGCATAGGAGATAGTTTATGACAAATGGTATTAGGGCATCTCCCTGCCACAAAAGACACTTAAGTGAGACTCAGTGTCATTCCTGTTCCTGGCTCAGTGGAAGCCAGTTTGCTTCAGCTGAGCCTATTTATTCCCCTCTGGTAATGGCAAGATCCCTCCTGCTGCTCTGTGTGGGGATGGCACGGAAGGAATAACAAAGAAATCCTTGATCAAGGGGGATGAAGTTTGTTTACACAATGGGAAAAACAAGCAGGAAGGAAGACAGGCCCTCCTCCTCAAAGACACAGTTTGCTCCCGGCCAAAAGGAAGGGTGTGTATCCAACTGGACACTCCTCCCTGGGCTGGAATTCACAAAGTCACACCTGCTGCTTTATTTTGTTCATACCTACAGCTGGTTCCCCACAGGGTCAGATACCTGGCAGCCCAGCTCCAGGCTTTGAAGGAACACTTGCACACACACACATGCACGTTCACACACCGTTTGGTGTTTTGCAGGATTAAACATGTCATCCTTTTCTACTCCAGATAAACTAATATATCCCTCCCAACACCAACCATCATGGCTAGAGGAGAATATCAGTGAGTTAGTCCCACTGCTTTGTGAAACAAAACTCCATTTGAAGTATCTATTTTTTCAAGCTAAATACAGAAGAAAGAGTAAAGCCAACCCAGTCACAAATATCTATCCTTAAAGGCTACACTGCATGAACTCTTCAGAAATACAACTGACAGTTTGAGCAACCAAACCCTCTTGAGTTGCTTCTGACACAACTATGGGCAGAGTTGGATTTTCATCCTTTCCAGGCACATAGCTCTGCTTAAGAACAGCATGTCAGCTCCTAAACAACAGCCCAGGAGGCAGGTGAAGGTAAACCCCCACAGGTTTGCTGTGTAGCCCTTAAGATCTCGAAATACCACGTAATGATCGTCCAGATTAAATGGATAACCAATACAAGGGAGCAGGAACTTAGGAGAGGGGAGTTGGGGATATAAGGCAACAAAAAAAAATTCACAAGAAACCAGGCTTTGTTCATTTACAGAAGGCTGCTCAACAAACAACTTGCAGGAGATATAAGGCTTACTCTGCATGGATTGCTCCAACATCATGAAACAATATCTTTTGCTTCTCTTTCCAGTCACTGTTCTGGTGCTCATGATCATTGCCTGCAGTTGCTGCTGCTACAGCTGCTGTGGCTGTGATGGACATCCTGACACCAGAAGTAGGAAGAGCCAAGTCCGCCCGACTGCCCGTTCGTGAAGTGCAACGAGGTGACACAACCTACTACCAAGGACCTGCATGGACATCATGATCCAGTCCTATGGGAATGACTTTCCACACTAGCTCACTGAAAATGGCAGTAACAATATTAATTAACATGACTCAAAGGACCAGAAACCACAGCGTGGAATTCCTTCTGTCCGTGACAGCCACTACTGTGACCAGAAAGGTAAAGCTCCTCCACCATCACTGTCTCGCTCTTCTGGGGTGGGATGGGGTGGGAGGGCACGGATACAAATTGCTGAGAAAAGAGACAGCTTTCCCAAAGACAGCCCTGCAGCTGGGCCAGCCAAGGATCCCCACTGGGAGCACGGAGCCACAGACCAAAGCAGAGAACACGTCCAGGACCACATGCCAGGCAGTGCCTGCTCTCCTCACAGGTGGCTAATCCAGAAGGACGGTGCTGGGCGTTAGCAAAAACTCACTGACATCACCACGTGCTCAGGTGATCGTGGATCAAGCCCAAACCTGTTCTCTCAAAACCCAGCTGCAGGAGACATGTTTAGCTGAGTTATCTGCTGAAAACAACAAATCATGGACCTTCTGATCCAGACGTGCCAGCTGAGGCTCTGAGAACAGCTGGTAACAAATGCTCCCGGCGTCATTTCACTGGTGTCACAATGAGGTGAAATTGCCAAAGAAAAAAAACCCAGATCATGTGGAATATTCTTTGTAAACAGAAAGACGAAGGCAAAAGGGAAAAACTCACCAACACCACAGCTTATTTTGATCATTCTGCTGCTAAACGTGCTCCCTCCCCACCCCCCTCTGTGGTTCTACTGCTTATTGCAGACGAGTGGTTCTTGCAGAGCATGGGAGCTACGGGAGATGAACAAATCCCTGCCCTTACTTGAGGGATCTGTGGCCTGCCTCCCTGCACTGTGTGCCGTTTATTTTAGTGGACATAAACATTATGCCAAGGGTATGTTTATGAGCAGGCACAAAGGCATTTTGGAGGAGTGACATGCACTGTGGTAACTGTCACTTCAGGGTACGTGTGCAGCAGCTGACAGCGGGCACAGTGACAGAGCAGAGCCAAGAATGGGCTGTGCTGCTGGAGTTAACAAGTGCAAATAAATCCCTTTTCCACGCTGCAGCCACTGGGTATGTTTGGTTTGCGCTCCGGTGAACTTCCGAAAGGGATTTCTGTACGGACAAGGCTGTGGCACAGGCCACGACTTTCACAGCTGGGACGGCCCTGTGGAAGGCCAAAATACTGCCCAGCTCAAAGCCCCGGGTCTTTCAGCACCAAATGTGAGACCAAAACACCTTTCTGAGAAGGTATAAAAGGTTACATGCATATAGAGAAGTCACCTTCAGCCCCTGCATCCCAACTGCTAAGTGCAGAGGAGGCAAAGGGATTACACCTGTATGTGCCAGAGGCAACATCAAGCTAGGGAGAATAGAATCATCAAGTTTTTAAATTGGGGCTTTTAAATATTCTTTACACTTCAGAGGGGAGAAAAAAATAAAGAAAGCTTTGTAAAGAAATGTCTTTTCTCTGATGCCTGTGCTCAGATTGGTAAAAAGCACATTATGTCAGTAGTTTCTTATGTTTAAGAACTTTATTTTTTGTCAGCAAACCAGATGTGGGTATTTGGCATTTTTGTGCTGCTGCACATTGGAATATATCTACAGCCAGTGACACAGAAAATTGTCTAAGAATTAAAAGAAGAATAAAATTCCTCAAACTACCAGTGTTCCTTTTAAATTAATGAAAAGGAAAAGCTTTTCAGCAGAAGATGAGGATGCTCCTCAGGAAGTAAATAGTTGAGCCCCAACTTGGCAACTGCCAACAGCAGACTGCACTGGGATGAGCTACTGCATGTACAGTTACACTCAGACTAACAAAGCACTGGGCTTTATTAGGCTGTCCCAAAGCTTGCACTGCCAACCAGCACGTTAGGGGAAAATAAAGCTCAAGCACAGCATCAGTTCAGCCTAATCAAAATTCAGAGGTGCCTCACACCAACCTCTCAGATATGTCACTGCTCATTTCACTCACAAACAAGTGGCAATCAAGGTGGCATCGGCAGCCTCAGAACCTCTTTTGCAGGACTCAACAGATGTTTCTGTATCTAAATTAAGTCACAAGACCCGGGAATGAACAGAGCTCACTTTCTTTCCTAGCTGGTGCTAGACAGTGCCAGCTACAGACATGAACAGAATCCCATTGAGAACTGTTTGAGCAGCATGGAGCCAGTCTGTGCTAAGTCAGGAGGAAGCTCAGCAGGCTGGACACATACCAACAACTGACAGGTTGCTGTCACTGGGAACAAGCTGCCAGGCCTTATCTCAACAGGAAAAGCTACAAATGCATGTTTCCCAGTGGTGGTACAAGTTAAACCCACTGACAGATACCAGGCAGGGGGACAAGAGAAATGGCTCCTGTCTTATCTCTGCCACCTTAAGTTCCTGAATTAGAAACTGAATAAACACAGCAGTGTTAAAACAAAGAGGAGGAGAGAAAATTAAGCAATTATTTAAAGGATTCAGGTGGCTTTCAGGAGCAGAGGAGTAGCCACCATCTAGAGGAGTCCCTGGACCAACTTCTACACACTTGTCTGGACCTCACAGGCCTAATGTTCTGCTTTGTGCCCTTTTGTACCACTGCACTCAGCTGGGCTATTCCTACAGCTGGGATTTAGACGTGCCAATAGCTTATCTGGGCTGGGTGGGGTCTGCTGCTTTCTTGCATGTAACTTATCAGGGTGGCCTGAAAGAAGCCCAGCAAGTCCCCAATTTACTGCAGCACTTCAGCTTCTGCCAACTACAGACACGCCAGTCCCTGAGTCCCCACTCACCACCCACTAGAGCTTTTGTGGCTCTGGCTTCAATCCATACTCATACATAGGGACCTGTAGGGAGCACTAGGGAGGATGGATCCTCTGTTTCAAAATACAGAGGGAGATTCAGAAAAGCACAGACCAAGGAGAGACTGCTTCAGACCCAGCAACTCCTGCACATGTTGTGAAAGCCTGAGTGAGCCTGGAAGGAACTGCAAGGGAACACCGTTACTTCAGTCCTGATGACATAAGTGTTGAAGTAGTTTCCTTCCCTGAGAAACCTCAAAGAGCCAGCAAGGCCAAGCCCCTCCAGCAGCAGTGGTTGAAGGTCTAATGATGACTCCATGGAATAGCTTCTGTTCTGTAACATTATCCCTCTGCTTTCAAAGTGATTTGCTTGGCTTGTGAAAAATAAGCCGCCTTTTACACACATGCAGTTCTCTCACACCACACTCCTCCTTCTCCCCTCCCACCTCTCTCTAGAACCATCCCTCGGGTCTTCTTCAGTCAGGGAAGCAATAGGGAGGCAGTTTTATTGCAGTTAACAGCCGTGCAATGCTCTGTAACAGGTTTATTTCTGTGAACTGTCACAACGGATTTTGGACTGCAGGGCAGTCTTGCTCAGTCTCACTTCAGGGCTGGGAATCTCCTAAAAGGAGCTTCCAATACAGATCCAGTCAGGATCCAGGAAACACAGCCTTCCTCTCCACCACATCCTGTCCAGACAGGACATAGTGGGCCTTTACAATCACTGCAACAGGTGTAGAGGAAGGGATAAAGTAATGGAGAGGAAGAAATGGCTGAGCAACAGGTGAATTAGGACTTTTTATTTAGGCTCAAAGTCTTTGATTTGATTATATTAGCCACACCTTTGCAGGAAAATCAGCTGTTAATCATTTACTGCAGCACCAAGGTAACTTCCAGGCTATCTCTGAAAGTCTCAAGGCACAGTAAGGGGTCTCTCACCACAGGCCAGGATCTCTTGGAAGGGTGCAGAGGAGGCAACAGAAGAAATACCTTCTACAAACACAACACTTCAGGTATTTATAAAATCTCATACAGCTCTCCTATTTCAGGAGGTTAAGTGTGCTTAGCAAGAGAGGAACTTCATGGGGTGTGCAGTCCCACAGGGTTCCTGCCTTTGGGTCTACAGAACCAGTATTTCTGGAGGTGAAGGAAGCCATCCAGAACAGCTTTCCTGTCCTGTGTGCCTGCTGGTCGGAGACTGAGCATGGTGATCTGCCATCAGTCCAGAGAACAAACCATGAACTGAATATATTTGGCTGATGAAAAAGAAACAAAACCTTCAGCAAGTATGAGCTTGTGCTTCTAGTCAAATCTGACCTGCTGAGGATGAGACATGCTTTACAGGACTAATCCTTTTCCTTACAGCATTCAGGATATATAAGGGGCAGCAAGTCAAGCAAATTTTCAAAAATAACAAAGATCTCTTCCTGTATTACATTTGCATAGTCGTATTTGCAAGAAAGTGTGAGAAATATTCCACCCTTTTACCCTTGAGAAACAAGGAACCTTCAGTAAAACCACAAGATGCTCACAAAGAGATGCTGGATGTTCTTTAGAGGGCTGACAGCAGAGGCATTATGCAAAGTATCAGTGAAAGAGCAAGTGTGTAGAACCCACTGAGATCCCAGTTTAAATTATTACTGGACCTAAGTACTTCTTGGAAGGAGAACTTCTATTGCAAAGTAACAGAAAGCATTACTAAAGCAAACTCCATTAGCAGGACTCCCTTTTTAACATAATTAGACTACTCTAAGCCTTATGAAAGCAACAAGTTGTACATGATCTTTGCTTATTGTTGGTGGGTGGATTTTTTTTTTTGCTTGTTTGTTTGTAAATAAGTCTTCATTTAATCTCCAGTGTGTTCTCAGAGTTTCAGTCCCCAACTCTATTTTAGAGATCTTTCTAATGGTATCAAGGAATTTGTCCCACTGAATACTTGTCTTTCATGTATAAGGCTGTGCAGCTAACAGAGATGAAGGGTTCATACTGAACATGCTGGAGAGACACTGTATTATTTCAAATATTGATTAACTATGGCTAAAATAAATCCCAGCTGCCAGAATCTTGCAGAGCCAGAAGCTTTTCCTCTTTACATCTCGGCAGATCTGATAGTGAAACTGGCCTCAGCTGTATTTCTTCTGCTTTATGCTCCTATTTCTGTTTCTCCTTTGGGAAGGGGGATGCTGTAGGCACAGACAGCATTCATACCTGTACTGGTTTTGGGACTGTGCTCAGAGCACAGAGAGGATTCACCAACACCTGACATTGTTCTTTGTCTACCCCCAGCAGGGTGGAAACCAGCAT